GCACAGAGTGTGTCAATGATATATAGGTATGCTCTAGTACTACCCACCTAGTGCATTGAATCATGGTTATCAGCAATTCATGCGGTGGCAACCACAATACCAATTTCCAGTATCCACAACAACAACGACCGATTCCTTCTCAATGTTAGAGTTGTGTCGAATATAATGTACAAGGTAGGTTACAGTTGAACTTGTAGTTGTATTGTGTTTAGATAGGATATGGAGTCGTGTCCTAGTAGGACACTTGTATCCTAGGCCTCTCATATATAGCGGGGGTAGACACACGATGTAACCTATGCCAACATAATAGCACAGGCACGCAAGGGGGAGCCGCGGCGTGTGCCGGCGCCCGGGTGGCCAGTGTGCGGTATTGTGACGGTGTCACGGGGAGGAGCGCCCGTAGTCATGCCCCGGGGATGTAGGCATATCGATGAACCTCGTTAACAAATCTCGGTGTCGTGCTCGTGTGATTGCTTGGTCCTCGGATGATTGACGGTATGCCTTGGATTTATTCTAATAAGTGGTATCATGAGCGAGGTTATTCGGAGGCTTCGGATCGTTGATTTAGAGGAAGAATTGTGTCTGAGATGCAACCGCGTGAGGTGTGGTTCTCGGCGAGATTCAGAAAAAGCGACGCCAGGCGAGTCGTGCGGCGGTCGATCAGCGGATCAATCGGGCGAGCGTCAAGCGGCGCGAGTGAGTTGCGGCAGCAGCGATACGGTTCAGCAGGCGGAGTTCTCGGCGGCGGCGCGATGTATCGCGTAATCAGCAGCAGGTTAGATCGCATCAATCAAAACCAGGTGCAGCGTAGTGGGCCATGGCACTGGAAGACTTTGGCGTGATGGCCTGGCGATGCCTAGTCGGGCTGTGTGTGCTGGAGGCCTGCACTGTGCTGGGGCTGGGCGATGCCCACGTTGGGCTGCGTGTGTTAAAGCCTATGGAGAAGTGCTGCTGATTGTACGTCCGTGTATGCTGTGGAGCACCTCAGATTTGTTTGTTGAAAAAAAGGTAGCGGTCAGGTTCATGTGTGTGTATAAGAGCAGTTTTTGGTTGGATCAAGTACGATCTATTTTCTGCTATAAGATGCACGGAGAAGCAACAGCAAAAGAGTGACAGGAAAAAAGAAGATATGTGCAGTATGCATGGAAGTTTTTTTTTTCTGAGTCGGTTTGCCAAGATGACTTGGAACACGTGGACAGGCCACGGAGGCACGCGGATAAGTGCGTCATACAGGATCATGCATACACATGGCGTCTAAGACATGCACAGATGTGTGGGTGGACACGATGTGGGGTGGAGCATGGTTACAGTCGAACGAGTTCGACTGGGTCAGACTAGGCAGTCTGACGAATCGATATGAGTCGGTTGGTACAGAAGACGGTGGCGGAATCGGCGCTTACGACGTAGGAGCGTGATGCTGATGGTGACCGACTTCTGGGCGTGGAAACACGTGGCACGGGCCCCGTGGGCTTGTGCGGCTTCGACAAGACTATGGCGCGGGATTGATTCAAGGTGGTGTATACACGGAGCTTGAAGTCGATGAGGCGCAGGGGTGGACTGATCATCTACCATGGAGTCATGTTGAAGGTGGAGCTGGATTAAGGGGCTACGGCGTAAGACGTCAGAGAGTCGAAGCCTATTTCAGCGGGAAAAGCGAGTGACACGTGGTTCTGACTGGAGCCCAGTGGTCCGATGGAAGCGTGAAACTCGTCATCGGTCGGTGATGATTGGTGGTACTCTGCAGTGGGGGTTGAGTGGTGTGGGTTCACGACCCTTGAGGCTCGACCGGGACAGCGGAGGCTCGACGCGTAATAGCGGCGAGGCGTGCGGTACGCACAGGGCATGGAGACGGGCCAGGGCTCTGGTGGTCATACATGTGATGAGACATCTGCGAATTTGACTCGGGATGACTAAAAGCAATGGTGAAATTCCTTCATGTTTCAGACAGGCAGTCAAGAAAGGAGCGGTGATGTTGAGTTCAGGTCACTCTTATGTGTGACACCCAATATGTGAGTAGTTCATTTTCACGCAGGTCAGTGATCGGTGTGTGATGGCGTTGACGGATACTCAGGAAGTTGGGAGTACAAACTAGAGTAACAAGGAACTTAATTTTTCTCGAGAGTTGACTGTGGTCAAGAAAAGAAGGGACTACAAGTTGCATGTGGAGTCATATAGAGTCTTTGAAGTAGCAGCGGTACTCACGGGATAAGCTCAAGTCCAATGTACATGGAAGTTTGACGCATTGACGAATTCAAGGTGGTGGAGAATATTCGCCAAGGTGAAGTTTGTTAGAGTTGTGTCGAATATAGTATACAAGGTAGGTTACAGTTGGACTTGTAGTTGTATTGTGTTTAGATAGGATATGGAGTCGTGTTCTAGTAGGACACTTGTATCCTAGACCTTTTATATATAGCGGGGGTAGACACACGATGTAACCTATGCCAACAAAATAACACAGACGCGCAAGGGGGAGCCGGCGGCGTGTGCCGGCGCCCGAGTGGCCGGTGTGCAGTATTGTGACGGTATCACGGGAAGGAGCGCCCGTAGTCATGCCCCGGGGATATAGCCATATCGGTGAACCTCGTTAACAAATTTCGATGTCGTGCTCGTGTGATTGTGTTAACAAATCTTGATGTCGTGCTCGTGTGATTGCTTGGTTCTCGAATGATCTACGGTATATGCCTCGGATTTATTCTAACACTTAATAGTTGCAATAGTACCCAATGCCTCCTCGGGCGATGGAGGTCAACCAGACAGTTTGGTTTCAACTTTCAACTCAATTGGAAGGACAAAATCAAGAAGCTGGAGGACCTAAAATAAGAAAAGGTAATACAGGAAAGCTTGAAGATCTCTGTGAGTCTGCAAAGAGGACTAGTAGTATTCATGGACTAGGCTCAACTTTGAAACTACTGGGATTGTATTTGTGGAGGAGGGTGAAGTATCTTTTTTTTAATGTTGGCAAGAGGGCTGCCAAACCCATTGATTAGAAAGTCGTGACAAATACAAACACCTAGACAGGGAGGAGCGAGATCAAAGCTCGCAGAGAAAGAGAATCAAAAAAGAAAACACAAGAGCTAGCAAACGCTAGGGAGAAAGAAACGCAACGGGAAAACCTCAGCCAGGATCAAAAGGAATGGAAGCCCCAGCCAGGTTCCACACGGTGATTTCGTCACTAAGTATTCTCCTAAACCCAACGGTGGTGAGCTGCTGCCGTTCAAATGTACTTCTGTTGCATTCGCGCCATATTTCCCAAGATGTAAGGAGCAGTAGGGACATAGTTACTTCCTTCCTGCTGGAAGCACCCCCGTACCAGCAACTGCGCAGCCATTGGCCATCGCTGCAAGTCCCTTTGCCGCGCCATAGCCATGCCCGGCAACGTTTGATGATACGCTGCATAATCCAAGCCGGCAGACGATGGACCGCAATCAGATATACTGATTTCAGCAGGATCAGGCGTCCCCCTTTGGGCATCAACTGGCCTTTCCAAGTTGCCAGTTTACCATCAAATTTATCTAGCCAGAGGCTCGAGGATAGTGGCATGCCCAAATATATGATAGGGAATGTCTTAATTAGCATACCGAGCGGTTGTAGAATGGTGGCGAGGTCGCGATCCCCGCAACGAATAGGCAGGGTAGCACTTTTCATCAGGTTGGTAACCACACCAGTGATCAATCCGAACGAAGCTAGCAGCAACTACTGCACCATCTCCGCATCTCTCCGATGCGGGTTGATAAATAGGGCAACATTGTCCGCATAGAAGGCGCATCGAAGAATCCGTTGGCGTCCCGGCAGGCGCGAGAGAACGTTGGCCTCAGTGGCCAAGGAGAACATGCGCTGGAGTGGCTCCATAGCTAGGATTAAACAGGAAGTCCACAATGATGATGGACGAACTCGGGCGTATGGCCATGAACCGTAATCTTGCATGTGCAGAACACTGCTAGGTTATTCTTGACGTCGCCCAGACCGAGGGTGAAGTATCTGTTCAAGAATGAAACAAAACTTCTCTGCTATGTGGTCAGTTCTTGGTCAGATTCCCTCCCAACAAGAAGATTGAGAAATTGGTGGAGTACCCCTCCATAAATCTGAAGAAGGGTGATTATGTTTCCTTTAAAGTTTGAAAAGATGAAGAACCTGAGTTTGACTTCTTACATGGGGCGTGGGTAAATATCAAGCTATGTGATAGCAAACTATATCTGTTTTTTGGTGAGATCACAAGGTAATTCTTGGAATAACAGGCAGAGAAGTATAATGCATTCGCCAATCATCAAACCAGAGATCGATTTTTTTTATACATCTTCTAAGGAAAGAAGAGCGCAAGCGCCTCGCATTACTGTCTAAACTCTAAAGTATTCTCAGAAAACAGAATGACCCAAGGACTATCATGCATGCCCGGAGTTTAATCAGTAAGCAGCCTGAATGCTTGGTAGGCCCTACAGAAAGGTAATGGACTACTAACACAAAAAACATAGTGATCATGAATTTACAAGAAAAGTATTTTTTTTCTTTTTGTTTTGTGCACAAGGGAGATGGCAACATGGAAAGTATTTTTGGTTTCTCAAGAGATCATGAATTAACATCAAGCTATGTACTAGCAAACGATATCTGTTCTTTTTTCGTGAGAAATGACAGAGTATTCTTGGAGTAACAGGCAGAGAAGTAGAGATGCAGTCAACAAACATAAAAACAGGGTTAAAACTTTTTTCACATCTCAGGACAAGGAAAGAAAAGCATAAGTGATATGCATTACTCGTCCAAAGCATTGTAATAAGAAAACAAAATGCTGAAAGAACAATCATGTCTTGGGGGTTTGAATCCATAAAGCAAACCTGATAACAAAGTCATTCCTGATTACTTAATACAGTCACATGACAAGATAACTGCCTGATAACATAAGTCACAAAGTCCACATACCAGTACACATTGGTAAACAAGAGATCTAGTTGATATCAACCATCTAGAAACCATGAACTACCATTGCTAAAATACGGGGCAACACTCGGCTAAGGTGGCAAGGGCATGGCAATCAGCTCCATCACAAGAGAAGGGAAGCTCTTACACAAATTCTGGAAGCCCTCAGTGGCCACGACTGCCCTCCGATGTGCCGGGCAGCTGAGAAAATCAAAGCATGCCTTCTTCAACCCGTGGCAGTGGTACTGCTCAGCAAGTGCTAGAATGGTCGGAACAGAGCCTGTATCAATGTACTTGCATAATTTTTCCTCGCAAATCAGCTTTAGCCTCTCCATGTTATACCTGTCCGCCGCAACGAGCAGATGCTGACACATGATATCTTCCTCTTCTTCTTTTGCCTCTCGCAATGAATCAGTGTAGGCGAAGTAGAGCAACTCCTTGAAAACCTGTGCCTCCAAGTCATCTATGTGTATGACACTGGCTGTGTCGCCCTCCTTCATCATGCCAAAGAGCTCCGCGCTGAAGACTGGAGATCGCGACGCGAGCACACACCGGTGTGCAGCAATCCTCTCACCACCTACCTCAAACACAACGTCAGCGCCCTTCTCAGTCTTGAGGAGATCACCGAGGTGCTGATTCAGCTCGGGTGGGGGCACAAAGACAAACTTTGGAGCGCTGGTCTGTTTGGTGCAGATGTCATGGACGACGGCAATGTCACACCTGATTGTGAAAGAATCGTCCTTGAGATGCTCCGACTTCTCCAAATCCTCCCTCTTGACGAACTTTGGACAGCCCCACATTTGCTTACCACCAAAAACATATCCAGTTGTGGATGCCCACGGCCATGACAGTCGCTTCTCAGCCACCTTGGCAAAATTAATAGTGAACATCGTCTTCACACCCTCGGTTGCAATTTCATCGAGCTTGAGGTAAAAGGAAATATAATCTGCTGTTTCGGAGTCCATGCCATTGGGGAAATAGTAGATGCGCCAGCAATGGCCGCCGACAAAGAATTGACTGGATTGGAGGAACTCACCCGTGGGGGTCGCCTTGGTGCAGCAGTAACCGTCGATCTTGAGGGTATGATATCCTCTCGCTGAGGTGGCGACAATGGCAGAGGCGGATCCCGACGGCTCACCGACACAAGCGATGGGGGAAGACATGGCAAACCTGCTCTGAGAAGTGGGGAGTTGGAAGCTATACTGTGCAGACTAATCACCCCTTGCTGGGCTTTTTTCCTGTGAAGAGATGACTGCTGCTACAGCTACTACTCGTACTGGAGGAAGAAGCAGCGGGCGACTGGAGAAAATACTGTGAACAAGATGACACAATAAGGAGAGTAGGAAAAACATGATAACCAATCTAGAAAACAAATGAGGTTGTGTGCAACTTCCAGGACCAGCTTGGTATTTTAGAACATACAACTAGCATTCTGAGACCTAAATTGCCAAGCACTAAAGAAGGAAGATTGATACCAAGGATAAAGCATGATTGTTTCCATGTTTACACCTACAAGCAAGTTACTAGCTTATATCTAAAAGGAAACATAAGGTTCTATAAAATTACAAAAAATATTAGACAAAGAAAGTACTGAATGAAAGAAACAATATATCAATACTGAACAAAAAAAACAAGGCATGACTAAAACTTGCAACACGCCAAAGACTAGGACTGCCTCAGATGGCCCTCGTATTTGTGGACCTCTAATAAATCTAGACATGAAAACAACAGTGCGGTATGAAATCAATACAAGGTTTTTGAGTTGCCGACTAATCACCGATTAGACACGGGCTAATCGCCTTGCCGGACCAGCGATGAAGCCTTGCAAAAGTGACTCAACTAGCAGGGCAAGTTGTGCAACTCACCCCCCACTAGACGCTTGCGTGCTGGTTTGGGCAGTTGTCGAGGTCTTCCATGAGGAATCAACCACCGTGCCACCGCCGGCTATCGATCTACCCCGCCGCTAGTTGTTGTAAGAGGGAAGAAGGTATGCGAAGAGAGAAGGGATCTGCACTGGCGGCGGCTATGTATGGTGCTGGCCACACTCTGCTGGGCAGTTACCACTCTTCTATTCTTGATGGATGGTACAGATGGCTCGGATAAGTATGGACGGTTAGATACATCAAGAAAGCTAGGGTTTTCAAATGGGCCTTCATGGGCCAAATATGTCCTCCCTTATCAACTGCAATCTACTGTACCCCAGCTTCAGCCATCAGGACCTTGCCTAGGAACCTACCGCCACCTTGACATCACATTCAAGGTCCTCCACAACAGCAACTTTACCCTCAACATCCTCTCACCCTCTCTGTAAATCCCCCTGACTAGTTGCAGCGACTTGGGGCGATTAGTCATAACTAGTCACGAATAATCCAGGCTAAGGAGACTCGACCCGACACCATGACTCATAAACTTTGAACCAATATCATCTTTTGGTTTAGCATGAGATGCAGGCTTCCAGCTGGTGGCTTACTTCCTATAATAGAGGATTAAAACAAGGAAAATTCTCCAGGGAACAACAGGCAAGAAAACAGACCACTTCAAGCAAGGGTATGGTTCTTTGTATTTGACCAGGTTTGGTAAAGAACAGAGGTGGGAATGGAGGACTCATATTAATGATAGAGGTGATAAATTTCACTGTATTAAACAAGAAAAAGGAGAAGAGCTAAAAAAAATCCACGTTGATCGGCAACTTCGAATGGTAGGGGGCCTTCCTATACAATCACAACAAATCACGTTGCACACACTCATCTTCCTTCCATCCAATCGTCATTAGACACATTAACCAAACTATGAATGTTATCAAGGGACCAAAGCTATGTCAACTTTGTATCAGATCATACCCAGCCATAGGCAATCGCAAATCACCATGGTTATCCTACTGATTGAGCTGCATAAATAAAAGTGAGGAAATGCTTTCTAAATTTATTAGTTCACAGCCAGTTGTTCCATCTTCCACAAGCATCAATTTTGAGTAGGTCTACAGCAAAAGTATGAGAATCAATATGTATAAGGCTAGTTGTAGTTGGAATATTAGACTCTTACCTATATGGTTTCCATTTGTGTACAACATGGTAAATTAAATAATCTACACGCTGACTGGAAATGAAATATTGCGTGCAGGCTTGATGCTTAGTTTGTCTAGTTGTGGCATATTTCTACGATGAGATATAATAATGCAACATTTCAAATAGAAAAGGGAGGAAAATCCTTGTGAAAATAGTAGCATCACATGATATGCCTAGTTTGTTGTCAATCTTATCTCCTTGTAGTACAAGCTAACAATATTTCTGCACAGTTATCCGAAATCTGAATCTACCCCCGTTTCGTATCCTGTCCTAAACTATGAACCTAACTCAGTTAGACTCATGGTTACAGTAATGCCAAAACGGACGACAAAATGCTGGTTGACCGGTTGGACTGTACATTTAGATCAGAAATATTGCTCCAGCGATCTACTTTGGAAGAATTTACTGCAACGAGAACAGGACAATGCCCAAGCTCGTGTGCGGCATGCGGGCGAGATTGAATCAAGCTCAGGAGCTCCCATTCACAGCTGCCACGCAGAAACAGCTGAGAAAAGCTACTTACTCGGAATCAAAGCAATCCCAAGCATAGCCTAACACCACACTGTCCGTCAGGTTGCTGAAAAAGATTCGGAAGGACAGAGGCAATGGGCAGCTCAGATTCCCCAGGCCCCATTTCAGGCTGGTTCGTCCCAACATCCAACCAGCGGCACGAAAAGCGCCACCGCCAAAATCGGATCTACTGGAGTTCCAAACCCGACCGCGAGACCGAATGTCAGGGATCCAGAAGCAAGCCATACCCGCCCCGCGCGCGCGCGGCGGCGGCCACTCGCCGTCCTGCCCACGGGAAGGGGAGAGGGATGGAGAGGGTTCTAGAAGAAGCTCCTGGAGAGGGAGAGGGGAAGGGGGGAGACCTGACCAAGTGACGGCGGAGGGGAGCAGCAGCAGGAGTGCGACCGGCGAAAGGAACTCTCGCGGACCAAAACGCAACAGGAGTGACTAATTGTAAGCGGATCTTTCAAAAAAGAAACGAGATTGAAGCTAAACCGGACAATATTTGTTAAATTGGGATATATAAGTATCTATATCTATAGCAGAGCGGCCGTGCGTTGCAACGAGAGAAGAAAAATCATAATCTTCAATGGTCATTATCATTTTTTGCTGCATCAGCGAGATACACTATCATTCACATCTTCGTGAAATCGTGAACAATTTTTGAAAATCATGAATATTTTTTAAACTCATGAACAAATGTGGAATCATTAACTTTTTTACAGATTTTTGAACATTCTCTAAAATAACAAAAAAATTGAATTCATGAATATTTTATACAATTTGCAAACATTTTTTGAAAATTGTGAATATATTTTTTTCTTGAATAGGCGGATTTTTCTAGAATTGACGAACATTTCTTTCGAAATTGTTGGAACAATTTTTAAAATTCACAAACATTTTTTGGATTCAGCAAAAATAATTGAAATGCATGATCATTTTTTTGAATCCGCGAATATTTCATGAATCAATAAACTACTAAGTCACGGACAGTTTTAAAAATTTTAGGGTATTTTCCAATTCATGAATATTTTTTAATTGGCGATTTTTTTCAATTTCATCAAAAACAATTAATACATTAACTGTTTAATAAATTATGAAAATATTTTGAATTCCCGGACATTTGTTTTAAAAATTATGAACATTTTATGAATATCTGGACATTTTTAAAAATCACAAACATTTTCTGAATCCACAGAAATTATGAATTATTAAAAATTTTATTTTAAAAGTCACATTTTTTATTTTCAAAACGGAATCCCAAATTGTTTAAAATAGAAAAAACAAAGGCGGAAAAGTAAAACGGAAAATAAAAACGAACTGAAAAAAAAGGCCGTCCGGAGATGGGCCGGCACAAACACGCGCGTTGTGTTTTCTCTCAGCGTGCAGGGCGCAGTATATAAGGTTCCTACTACATGAGCCGGCCCATGTAGAGACTTCTTTGTGTGAAACATTTTTTATTACTTACAGATGGCATGGTGGGCAATATTTTGTAATTGTGGGGGCAATTTCGGTGACGTACGGCCAGAAGCAATAACCCCTATACTATTGCTTCCGACGATACATCATCGAAATTACCCCCGAAATTGGAAAATATTATCACCGATGCAACCAATAAGTGAAGAAATGATTCGGGTTTTTTTTTAAAGTCGTCGTGGGGTTTCATTTATACACGGTGTTACCCTCACATAACTCAAGTACAGAACGTGGGAGACCCAGGTTTGATCCCAGGTCCCACCCTTTTTTCTCTCCTTTTCTCTCTTTATAGGAAGCACTCCTCCTCCCACACACACATATGGGCCAGCCCATGTACGGGCGTGATGTCCCCTGCTTTTTCATTTCCCTTTTTTTGCCTTTTCTTTTTTTATTTCTGTTTTTGTTTTTCCTTTTTAAAATTAATTCAAGATTCCAAAATTTCCAAATTTCAGAAAGTTGTGAGTTGAAGTTTTTTTGAGAAATCATAAAATGTTCATGAATTCGAAAAATTATAGGGAAATCATAAAATGTTCAAGATTGGAGGAACTCACCCGTGGGGGTCACCTTGGTGCACTAGTAACCATCGACCTTGAGAGTATGATACCCTCTCGCCGAGGCGCCGACGATGGCGGACGACATGGCAACCTGCTCTGAGAAATGGGGAGTTGGGAACTTTCCCAGGGAGAGTGGTCACCGCCGCTATAGCTGCTAGTCCCGTCTTAGGGTTTCCTTTTTGAGAAGCTGTCGTAGGGTTTCTGCTGACTGCGGCGAATTTCGGAGAAACCGAGATAGAAAAGCATTGTTGGGCGGCATGGGCTTTCTCGAGAAGGTTCGACTTTTTTCTTCTCGTGGGCTTTTCTAGCATTGTTAGGCCCATAGAGAGCTCTAACCTAGCCTGAGTCCAATGGTTCACTCAAAAAAGAAAAAAGGTTCTCCCCCCAAAAAATATTTTTATAAAGAGAAGTGTTCTAATAAAAGCGGAAAAGTACAATGTCTCGCAATCGCAGGGGATCGATGGCTCTTGATCAAGCCGATTGGCGCTTCGGTCTCGGCTGCAATTGTGCAAGCGGTTAAGGAGTCGATGTCATATGGTTAATAGTTCTTTTTTTTGC